TCCCTGACTGCAGGTTTGCAATAAGGGATCTCTACCTCCAACCATCATTTCTGCAGCACCTTAGAGTTAGAACAGCTACATAAAGAGGATCAAGACTATTTTTTACCCATTCCCTTTTTGGGTCTCAGCCTCCTGCCTGCCTTTCCATGTTGCTGTGTTTCAGGGAGGCAAAGGGCAATAGTACAGGAAGAGCTGATAGTCTGTGAAATTGGGAATTTAGCAGGCAACATAAGATCCCTTGGCTTAAATCAGTTAAAGTTAATTGCTAGAAGGAATCTTTGGAAGCTATTTAGACCAAAATAATGTTTATTCTTTTCTGAATGTGGCTGATTCTTTTATTATGTGGCTGACCACATAATAAAATACTATTAATTTGTTGTGGCTCTTCACTTCAACACTTGAACTTTCCTACATGAAATACTAATAATGTATTTTTTTTTTCTTTTTCAGATGACTGTACTCTTTTGAACACTGGGAGTTAGCTTCTTGTCTCTTGCAATGATACCTCTTTTTCCCCTTTGAAGTCACCCCTTAAGTCTATCAGTGAGCTTTGGGAATGTATTATTCACAGGGGGGAAAAAAAGTGTAAAATATAAGTTCTATATCATAATGAACTGTCTGTCACCTCAGAGGATTACAGTTTCCCTTTAATGCCAGCTGGCCCTATTACAGTACCTAAATCAATGGAATACCTTGGCCATTTTCAACACCTGCTGTGCTGCACTCCTGCCAACCAGTGCCAGTGCGGTGGTGGAGCAGCCACCTCTGAGGCATGTGCCACAGAGGGAGCTGGCAGCACAAGGCAGCAGCTGAGCAGAGGAGCCCAGCATGGCTGCAACAACTGCCAGTGCCTTGGGAAGCTGAGCCTGAGTGAGCTGGGGTGGATGTACCCCATGCACTGCAGTATCCAGCTGGATGAGAGATCTCACATGTGTCAGAAAGTGGGCTGGACAGTATTAAAATCATTTTGATACCTGTTACATTATTTTCCTTCTATGTTTGCCTTGTTCACTATTCTTTTGTCATGTCACCTCTACTAAAAAAAAAATGCAGATGAGAAGCAGTATCTTGGAATAAGCACACAAAAGTGGTTTGCTTTCAACTTATTTGAAAGTAGTATTTATCACATGTTCCAGGTAAATCCATTAGGCAACATTATTCCATCAAGGTGTGGCCAGCATTTTTGTAATATATGAAATATTTCCTTCAGATTTATGTGGTCTCTTTACAGTCTGTATGTTGTGCATATCACAGACTGGTGTGACACAGACTCAAGAAATGTTCTGAGACTGATGTGGGGTTTTATTCATTTTTCTTCCCCCAGTAAAGAAGTTGGAGACAAAACTAGATACTCATATCCAATGCACATTCAGACATATCTTCAGCTTTAGATGTGTATCTAAATATGTATGTATGTATGTATGTATATATACAAATACCTTTAAAATCTGGTTCCATCATTTTATGTGCTTTATAATACATAACAGATATTTACATGCCTGAAATCTATTTAGACTGCTTTATCTCAGAGGAAAAAATACTGGAAACTACCACTAGCCTATTGACAATTTTAAAAAAATTACCCTTGGCATTTTCAGAAGCCAACTCCACTGCAGGTGAAAATAGACAGGATGTGGCTTGGCAATGGAGTAAGGTCTAAGATTAAGTAGGGAAAATCTCTGGAATTTTAACTCTAAGCAGGCATCTAGTAAGGTCTCTGCTAGAGACACACTCCATTGACTTACATGCATATTTCAGTGCTTTTCTAAATCAGAATTTCCTCAAAGGGCTTTATGCTGAGCTATGTTTCACTATTTAGAGTAAGACCCAAATCTTGCAGAGTAAAGGCAAAATCCATTCCTGATGTGAACTGGGGTTATGCTGGAGACGAATTTGATACAACTGACCTGTTTGGTTTTTCTCCCTTACGGGTGGAAAAAGCAGAGACTTGAGGAGCACACCTTTGTCAAAGTGCAACAGCAGCACAGCTTGCAAACAGAGTTGCACAAGTCTCGCAATCTTTCATCCAAGGCTTATTCTAGAAACCTCTTCCTCCCTCCCCCCATGAACTGCAACAAATGTTTTGCTTGAGGAAAGAGCAAGACCCAGAAGAGCCGCTCTCTAACTTGTGTTGCAATATCCAATCTGAGTGTTACTATCGGCTTTTGGAAACTGACTGTATAGCAAACACAGATGATGTTTGCATATTTTAATTTTAAACATCTCTGCTTGGCATAAGGATGGAACCTAATAAGGTGCTTTGTTTCTGCCTCATGAATTAATTCAGCCTGCTAACTGATTTGGATAAAGCATTTTGATTCCAACTAGTAAACTTGTTTTCTGTGCAGGCAAAACAACTTTTGGAAGCAAAGCAAAAAGTTCTTTAGCTTGCGAGAGAAGTACTTCTAAAGTATCTGTAAGAAACAGGCCTTTTATTTTTATAACCCACTTGTTCCACCCATGTCTTTTATATCAATCAGATAAATTCACCTTGTTTTTCAAAGCCCTGAATCCTGATAGCTCTGCACACTTGATAGGTAATTTAATCATTGTTGGTGTGGATGAACACAAGCTCAAATTAGCTTCTGAAAGGCTTAGTTGTCCCGTAGATAGCTCTGCCCTTCCACTTTTATGCAGGAACTGAGCTTCACCAACTGGTTAGCTAGAGGTGTCATTAAAAATTTACAGAAAGAAACAAAGGTGTGCTCCAGTGTCTCTCCTTACCCTTTCTACTGTTACTCTGGCAAACAAAAGGTATGGAACCTGCTTCATGAATAATGGGTCATGTAATATGCATAATGCATTTTTAATGGCACACAGTAATAACACTGAGAGAGATATTTCCAATCTTCAGACTTGCTCCACAGCCTCTCAGTAGCCTGTTCTGATTCTCCCCAGATAAATCTTCCTTTCCTTATCTTCATTTCAATTCCTCACCTTAAAGCCATGACTTTTCCCCACAGATAGCTGCATTTCACCTATACCAGCAGCTGGCACTCGCACAAGCAGGGCTGGGGACATGGGAACACCCTCCCATGCAGCAACACAAACATTTCAGGGGGTTTGGATCTGAGCTGAGCCCAACAGTGGTGCCCTGAGACACACCATTAACTGCACCATGCTCTGGGAGGAGACACACTTAAACTAATAAAACATCTGTGGGTTTCTTCTGTGAAGAGCATTCTCGCCACCTGGGCTATCTCCATGCTGCCTCCCCAGCCACCCACCCCACCCTGTGGTCAGCACTAGACTCAAACCACACTTGTTGCCCTGTTTGGAAATGGGATGCTCCAAGGGGACAAGCACACATTGCTATTATCATTTTAAAAGTAAATACCAGCAACTGAGCCGCTCGGGGCCTGCTGGAGCAAGGCCTGCCCAGAGGGAGGAAGGAGGGAGGCTGTGCCTGGCAGGAAAGGTCCTCCTGAGGGCAGAGGGACTGGGGGCAACAGCTGCACCCCGGCTAACCCATACCCAGGTCAGCACTCATTCCATCCACAGCAACAACTTCTCTGTGAAATAAATACTTAGCATCACCCTGGGGCAGCCCCAAGCCTACATGTGCCTCCAGAGCCACACCTTAAAGCCTCCCCTGGCCTGGGTGGAACCCAGAGCATCACAGGCCTTCCGCATAAGCACCGAGTCTCCTGCACTGACCTTCTGCATTAATTAAGCCAGCATAATGGGCCTAATGTGGTCTTCAGAGCAGCTGGCACCTCTTGTGTCTTGGTTGCCATGATTGTGGCCATTTTTCTGCTCAGCGAAAGCTCAGCCTGCAGTGCCCGGCCTGGGCAGCCTCAGGAGCAGAGCCCAAGTGGGTGAGCCCTGAGGGGACACGGCCACAGCCTGCCAGGGCAGCCCCGTGGGGATCCAACCAAGGTTCTCAAGGGTGACAGAAAGCAGAAGCACAGGGAGGATCTTGGTGTCACCAAGGCAGGTGAGCGCCCCAGCCTCGGGCGGGCAGGGTGCCCCAGGCCTGGGCCAGCCCAGCAGGGCACAGGAGGACTCTGCTTGCTGGGTTTTTCCAGAATAAATGTACAAAGCTGGAAATATGAGTATATACCTCTGTGGGCACACAAGATTACATGTACATGTAAAGAACCAGGCTACCATGCCGTGTGTGCTCTGCTGGGAAAAGGACAAGGGACCCCTCCATCATCCTCCTGCTTCTCTTTTGTATGGGCTGCAACTGCCAGATGGAGCCAGCCCTGCTGACAAGGCAAGCAGGCAAAAGGCCGTGAGTCCCAACAGGCTTAAGTATAAATGATGCACCTGCTGCTCAGGTGTCCCTGCAAACTCCCAAGCACAGACATTTAATCTTGGAGGAGACATTCAAATTGCTCCTGGGCCATGCAGGGACTTCTGGCTGTCTACATTTCCAAAGTAGAGCCTTAAAACTGCTGTTTCCCCCCTAAACCCTTTTATGGTGATAGTCCAAGCCACGATGTACCCTAGTCCTCAAAAATGTGAATTTTTATCTGAAATCAGTATAAGAATTGGACAAATAAATATGGCAGTTGTGTTCTTTAATGCTGCATCCCTGATAATCACTGTGGTGTATTGTAATGGCTGACATTCACAAATGTGCAGTTACATATTAAATAAAAATCACTCTGGACCATCCTCGTTACTTTATTAACTTAAAACCTTGTTCTAATAAATATGTACCAAGAAATGTAAGACACTCCATAAAATCTAAATAAGGACATTTACAAACTTGTCAACAAAGTAAAAACAGCTTTTTTTTTTTTTTAACTGAGGTACATGCAGAGTTGTTAAGGCAAATTAAGTGAATTATACTTTTATAGTAAGTCCTGCCTACCTCAGAAAGTTTCCCTTTAAAAATTAAAAAAACAAAAATACAACTGATGCTATTGTGTAGCTATTTTCCAGTTATTAGAACAAGCCCAGAGTGTAGAAGCCAGTAATGGTTCTGGACAGAAAGTCTGTGCCTTCCTGATGCTCCTGCCCTCCTCAGGCAGGTTCACTTGTTGGATTGATTTCTATTTCTAAGGCATAATTCTGTGCTTTGGCTTTTCCACTGGTCTTTCACAAGCTTCCTTATCCCTAGTGGATGTAGGAATAAGTAACCCTCCGTTCTTCAAACACACTGGTAGTCAGGCCTTGGACAGACAGAGATGGCTCAGGGAGGATAACAAGGACATCTCTGTAACTGTTAATGCAGATCCTGATTTGCACCAGAGTAAGTGAGAGCAGGATCAGTCCCAAGTTGGTACCTTTGGTTAAAAAATAGCAAGATGTCAAACTCCACACTGGACCTGATCCTCCAGGTTTTCCTGACAGGAAGTCATCCAAGAGTGAACCCATTCAGCACTGAACTCAACCAGGGCAGCTGCTGATGGCTCTCTGTCATTACCCCATGTAAACACTGTTATACCCATGTTTCCCTGCCAGCTGATTCAAGCTACTGAAAACTTGAAGGGGCTCATCATGGCCATGGGAGAAATATTTTCCTGCTTGCAGATATTTAGTAGCTTATCCATTTTTGGAGTATTAGGCTTTATATCTAAAAGGCTTATATTTCAGTGTTATTTCAGAAACAACAAGGGGAAGAGAAAGAGAGAAACCCCAGCCTTTACTTTCCCCTTCCACAGTCATTCAGGTTGAGCTGGCAACACATGGCTCTGTCCTCTTCTTTCCTCTTTGAGCTCCTGTTCAGAAAGGTAATGCCAGGTCTATGTTCAAGACAGGGCTTGGGTCCAGCAGGGAAGCCAAAGGAGTCTGTTCTCATAGTGTTGTAGGTGTTTTCCATATTGTAGTTTGGACTCATTTCAGGCCATGCTGTGTCTCCCGGTGTCTCCGTAAATCCACCTTTCGTTGGAAGCCTTTGCCACACAGATCACAGCCAAAGGGCTTGAAACCTGTGTGCTTCCGACTGTGGGTGATGAGGTTGGAGCTCTGACTAAAGGCCTTTCCACACACCTGGCACTTGTGAGGCTTCTCACCTGCAAGCAGAGGGTGGGAAAGAGAGAGGCTGTGAAAGAGGCAACATGCTGCTTACGTGGGATCACAGCAAATATACACTGGTACTTAAAGTTTATCAAAGAGATTTTTGTGTGATTACCTAAGAAGTCATTCTTACAAGAAAACATGCAGTTGGGAGCCTGAGAGAAACCATAAGCTGAGCCTCCACTGCAGCTGAGCAGGCCCAAACTTGGGTGCACCTCCAATAGTCCAGTATAGTCCTGGGAGTAGCCTGAAGCACAGAGTACTCTCAGGACCCCACATCTTGTGAATTGATTTGTCTGCATGGGCTCTGTGCAATTTAAACTGGCTTTGTGTCCTGGAAACATGAGGAACTCCTGGAAAAGTGACAAATGCCTGACATTGATTACTATACCATCAGCATGAGGGCAGGTGGAATAGGTAGATAGAGATTGTTAAAACAAACCCAGTGATCTGGGGTCTGTCCCCAAGGGAGGTATGAGGGCCATTAAGTGAATCCTGAAGGGCAGGGTTCATCCAGACATCTGTTCTCTCTGTTCCCCACACTACAGTGCTGGCAGTCAGAGCCCTGAAGTTTTTACCTGCAGGTAAATAATGTAAGTGGGAATAAATGCAGAACTTCTACAGAGGAGTCAGTGGCAAAACTCCATGGGAGCGGGATGTAAGTATATTTTCATACTGTTTACTATCAAATAACAAATAAAAGGGAACCAAACCACAATATCAAGCAGGATTTTCACAGTGGTTTTGCACCTGCAGAGCCCACTGGCTTCAGCTGGGAACAACAAACTCTTTGGGTATTTGAAGATCAAATTCTCAGAATCAAAAAAATAATACAAAATGTGCTGAAAGCTCATTTCAAAGTATATGGTGCATATGAAAGGAATCCCTCATTCAGTTAAGGATTCACTTTTATATTAGTGATTTAAAAGCCCAGGCACAGTTTGTGGTCTTACAAGAAAATAATCTGATTCAGAATTTGTCTGAAATTCTACTTCATCAAGCCTCATTTGAAAAGGTTACTATGGAAATACTTCTTGAATTTCTTCATAAATAGTCGATTTTCATCCAGCAACCTTCAGTGAAAAATCTTTATAAGTAACATTTATTATTCACTGCTTGTCACCTAGAAAAGTCACAGCCAAGCAGTGCTACATGTAGTGCTATTTCTCTACATTATTTGCCCTTTTTAGGCTTCACCCTTTATATCTGCTAGTGGCCATTATCAGGGAAAAGAATTTTGGTCATCTGAACAGTAGGTTTGGCTGGTACAACTGATATTTCATGTCTACAGATTCTTCCATATCTTACACATTCATTTCCCTCTACTTCAAGTGAATGGTGCAGGTCTGAAAGGCAAGATATTCTTTTAATGATTTCTGATAAACCTGCCTTCTCACTGAATGATACCTTTGAAACTATTTCCTTTGGTGATTCACCTGCACTTTATATTAGTTTCCATGTTTATTAGTAACAGTGAAACTTGAGAACTCTGCACCTCTCCTTCCATTCTGTATCAAACTGCAGCCATTTCTCAGAAAGTCCAGATGGAAGTGCAGACAATCTCTGAACAAATATTTAGACTAAGACCTAGGCCCTCCAGTTTAGTGTTTGATCTAGAGGAGGAGATTCCTGTTGTTCCTATTGTAAATTGGTAGATCCTGCAAAAAACAGTGCTGTTATCAAATTCACCTGTCATTTTCCCGGGACCTTAGCTGTAAATCAAGGCCACATGAATATAATACTCTACAAATCATCTTACACAAAAGCCCTTTGAATAAACATTGGTGGATCCTATTAAGGGAACACTGATTGGATTGCGAGGATTTTTGTAGGTTATTTTGCAGCTGCTGTTCATTAAAGCACATTCAGATCACCCTCCTTTGCCCAAGTACAGCTCAGATCGTGTGAACAGCAGCAGGACAGTGGAGGTGTGTGCCCTGTCCCAGCTGAGGAGGAACGGACTGTTGCAGAGAAACCTCTTCAGAGACCTGCCCTCGTGTTGGGGCTGACACCAGCAGCTGCAGGGCTGACCTGTGTGAATGAAGGTGTGTTTCTTCATATCAGATTTCTGGTGGAACCGCTTCCCACAGTACTGGCACGGATAGGGTCGGGTGTCTGAGTGGATGAGCAGGTGGGTGGACAGAGTAGAAGATCTCTTAAAACTCTTGCCGCAAATCTTACAATCAAAGCTGCGTTCCTGCAGAGAGATGAGCCCAGACACACACATTACCTCACAGCAATGACCCCAGCATGAGTGTTGTGCCTTCTGCCTTGGCAAGAACTTACATTTCTCCAGAGAGCTGGACTGGCCTACACTGATGATAACACTGGCTTGATAGCAGCACCACATGATAAAAAAAAATAATACATCTCTCCTAGTGCTGTGCACTACTAAAATTTAATTGAACAGCTCTTCCTACTGGCAGGAATGGCCAGGTGGGAGCAACCCTGATGGACCAGACCAAGTCTGCCAACACACTTTATCAGAGGCCCGAGACACAGTCACTCTACTGGGAAGCCCAACAGCTGCAGCACTGTCCTGAGGCCACCTCTCCACTGTACACAGCAAAAGTGGGTGCCAAGAGCTGCTTGAGTCTCTTGGAAAATCCCTGTGATGGACTGAGTTCTGGCATAGTAACAATTAATTGATTTTTTTAGTTCCATTAAAATTCAAGTGGAAGGCATGTAGAGCACTTGGGACAAACAGCTTTTCAGCTTACTGCTTTAACATATAAAACCAAATGCATCAAGACCTCTCACCTCTCCCCTCACACATTCCTCTCAGTTTCTTATACCATATATCATCTCTTCTTTCCATCCTTTAACTTCTATTGCATCTTCCTCTTCCTTCTATGCTTTCACATATCACCTTTATTTGGCTTTTAATGCATTCTCCCCAAAATTTTGTCCCTTCCATGGACACATTATGCAGTGCTGCTCTTTTCACCACTGTTTGATGGATAGTGAGATATCTCCCTTCATTGTGTGCTCTGCTTGTTGCACACTCATGCAATGATAAATTAAAGAGCAAAAAATTAAATTGCTGTAACTCAATCCTCCAAAAGTCAATCTGAAGAAGGAAGATTTGCCAGGTCAGGTGGGTGGGGAAGGGGAAATATGGCATAGTATCAGCAGGTGGAAAATGTTACAAGTCCTCCTACCAAAATTAACCACCATATTCTTTTGGTATGTGACTCAGTGTGTTGCAACGGGTGAAGTCAGTGCTCTATACCTGAATGATCCTTCAGATGTTCCCTGCACTGACAAAAATTACTACAAACAAGGGAAGACTCACTTCTTTGTGGGAGGGAGGAGAAAGAATGAAGAGTGCTGCATCAGAAGAAAGCACACTGAGTTGCTTTAGCTGTTAAAAAGAAACCAATATCTGCATTACAAGTTCCAGCTCTGAGAGTGAACATTTATTATTTTTTGTTACTTCTGGAGTGCCAGAAGTGCCCAATGCTTAATACGTGTGCGAGATCTGAAGAATGGAAACAAAGCCTATGTTCTTTGATTTGATTAGCTCCTTTGCTAATCCTTTCCTCTGACTGTCACCATATTCTTCACCTACAACTTCCCACTGCAGCCCCCCACGTTCTTTCCCCTCCTCAGTTTAGGTCCCTGCCTCCTTGCCCTGTATTTGCCTTCGTGGCTTCCCCAGCCAGCAGCATAGAGCAGCTGGCCCTGGCCCCCAGCCGTCTGTCCTGGCAGCCTGCCTGCTCTCACCTGTGAGTGCACGGCCTTGTGCTGCTCCAGGCTGACTGCATGGCCGAAGGTCTTGCCACACATGTCACAGGCAAAGGGCCTCGTGCCACTGTGTGAGCGGCGCACATGTACCTCAAGGCCATGCGGTGTGGAGAAGACCTGAGGAAAGAGAGTACACGGCGTCAAGTTTGCCAGGGAGAAAGGGCTGGGGGAGAGTCATACCCAGTGTGGGAGAAAAGGACTCCTACCTTGCTGCACTTGACACACTTGTAAGAGCCAGTGCTGATGAGCAGTGGGCGGCACAAGAGGTCAGTCTCCACTTTGAGGCCACCTGGCCCCTTCTCCTGCTGCAGCCCAGGCTGTGTTTCGGCATAGAGTCCAGGAGCTGCTGCTGGCGGCTGCTCAAACAGCCCCGGACCCGGGGAGCTGAAGTCACCATACAGTCCCAGGGAAGAGCTGCACTCAGCGCCATAGAGGGCGGGCTCGGAGCCTCGGTCACAGAAGAGCCCCAGGGCTGAGGTCCGCTCCAGTGTCGGGCAGGGCCTGTAGCTTTGCACAAGGTGCCTGAGCTCGGAGCCACCCAGGCTGTTCCACATATACGGTTTGAAGGGCACTGAGAAAGGGGGTGCTTCATCTAGGGATGGACACACAGATCTCTCTGAGGCTGTGGAAACACAAGGACATGGGAATTGGTGCACTTCTTGATCCAGACACTACAATGAGGCAGAACAGTCTCAGCACTCAGGCTTGTGTCCAGAGCCTGGCCCCTGTACTGCACTTTGAGGCTGCCCTTTCATCTCAATGGAAGGACATTTTATATTGCACATTAGGGTCTGAGTGTCCAGTACTACCTACTTGTCCAGTGTCCCAGCCAAATTATTTAAAGCCAACACCAATTTTGTCTACCTCCATTTCTGGATGCCTGGTTGTGTACACATTGATCTGACTAGCAAGACCCTAAACAACTCAGTCTACAACTTTCCATAGTTTTATCTGCAGCTTCTTGGAAACATGTATCTACCATGTCCCAAAATGGACATCAAAGCTGACTCTGATGGAGACCACACACAAACACACACACATATGTGCAAATATAACATTACAGAGGTGCCAGACAGAGCAAATGTGCTGAGATTTACCTGGTCAACAAAATGAAGAAAATCTTGTTGCACAATTTAATGCCCAAATCTAGTCTCTCAACTTCATGCCACAATTAACCATAACTATATTACAGCATAACTTAAATAAGTAACACCTTCTGAGGTGCTTGCACGTTATGCTTCATTTTTTCAGAAATAAAATAAAATAAAATAAAATAAAATAAAATAAAATATCTCCTCATTTGAAAGAAAATCATGGTTGTTTGAGATTGCTCTGAGGTTCTCCATGTAAAGAAATTTAATCCACCCAAAACACAGAGCTTTGTAAAGTCATTGGGATGGGCCACATTAAAACCTGAGAGACAAACCCATTTTCCTAACAGTTGTAATCAAAGTAAAGCAAATTTCCACCAGGGCAAGCTCAAATGCAGCAGGCTCTACAAGGCTTGCCTTCAGCAGTGGCATCTGACCAATGCAGTGGGCACATGAATCACATGTGGGGGCCCACAGCAGTCTGATAGAGCGGCAGGAGCACAGCCTTTGAGAGGAGTGTCTAAAGGCACAACTACTCAGGGAGCCTCACATGTAGGAAAGCACAACCAGGCAAGGAACATGAGGCACCAGACCCCAACTGTGTCTGCCAGAGATGCTGGTTAATGCCCAAGGTGCACTGCTTTCACTCCTCATCATAACAGGCAGCAGCACTGGGAGAGTCAAATATCTCCACTGGACAACAGTTTTAGTGAGCCAAGGAGGAGATGAATCAGTGAACTACTGAAATGCTGATGCCTTCATAGAGATATTGGCATCCCTTATAACTTGGGCTTCCAGAGTAACCTACATTAACCAGAAACTTGTCCACCCACAATGGATCTCTTACTCGTATCAGCTCCCATGGCTTTTTCAGCCTTTGACAAACCAAAATAAATGGGGGTGGACTAGGGAAAGAAGGCATGATGTGTTGGGCTATCCATCTGGATAGACAAGTGGTCACTGAGGGGTTACAGAAGGCAGTAGGAAATGAGGTTAAAATTGAGCTTTGAATGACTTGACTTTTTCCTATCTTTTACATAATTTTGGATATTAACAGTCTCAAATTCTTCCACTGAAATTAGTAATCTTTTGGTTAGAAATATATGCACATATACCAGCTGGGCCATTTGAAGAGAGTGATGAAATCAAATTAGCTGACATGGTGTTCAGCATGATTTTTCCTGTTCTGCACTGACTGCAAAGTTGTGGTCAGCATCACATCATCTATCTTGTGTCTTTGCAACCAGTTTCAGTGTTGCCATCTCTCACGATTTTATCACAAAATTCAAACCTATCTTAAAGTCCCAGCTCTTAAAATGGCATGATTTCATCAAGCCCTCAGCTTTGCTTTTGTTTGTTCTTGTTATAACTTTATTTTTTTCCTTTTAAAGTCAACTTCTAGCTCAAACTGTAAGAAAAGCATGAAAACAGAAACCCTCAATATTTCAACACTAGAACTGAATATCCATAAGGTATTAGTTACAATCTTGATTTCTGAGCCAGTTCATTGAGTGAGAGGAAAGGCTGACCTGATTTTTGAGCCCTTGGAACTGGCAGTACAGTATACAATGAACGTTGCACCACAGATCAGTTTGCGTGCAATGTTCCTTCCATCACCTCATGCTTTGGAGACCTCTCAAGCACAAATGCAGGGGAATTCCTCACATTATTCTCAAGCTATCCAAGCCCACTGGCAAAGCAATCTCCAGACCCTGCTCTGCCACACTGCAGGGTGTTTCTGTGTGTGCCTCTGCTCCACAGCATCTTGAGGGGGGAGCAGAGACAGAGAAATATTCTCCCTCTTTTTCCTAGAAATTCTGTGCAGCTGTTATAGAGACTACTTCTGGGAGGAAAAAAAAAAATCAATATTTGTTTTTGGAGGCAAAACAAACTCAACCTTAAATGGCTGGGAACAGATTGATATGCAGAGCAAAGAAAGATTCAAGTGTCCTCTTACACAAAACACCACACTTTCTTCACAAGTCCATTATACCCAGGGAAAGTCTGTCCTTCTGCAGCATCAACAGGCTCATCAGGAGATACTAATACTGCTGCACTGAGCTCCCGTGCACCTTCTGCATGTGCATATGCATGTGGTTACAGACACATGTAGAAAGTGAGGTTAAATAACAAAGTGATTTGCACTGATGGAGTTAACAGCTATTATGTCTGTATGTTGTATGACCGCCTACATCAGCAGCACAGTGCTCAAAGACAAAAGTGAAATAAACACAGCTTTCATTGCATACTGAAGTGCAACCTGCACCTATGTTCACTTCTAGAGATAAGGGAGTGGTAGTACTACTCACCACACATGCCTTCAGCATGATTTAGAACCATCATTTCCCATCTGCTCTGCCTGGCAGAGCATAAAAATTGTGCCCCATCCAAACACAATTGTAGGAATACAGTCTCTCACCACTGCATCTTGCAGAAGTGACCCAGACACGAATTCTGGCTTCACATTGAATCTGACAAAGCAGTTTGAAGGCAGAGGGGCTGGAGGAGGTGAGCTGTGGGAGGAAGCCCAGCTATCTAATCCTGTTGCCACTGTCCACCTCTCTTAATACACTAAGATAAGTTTAATAAAGCTCTTACAGTACTTGGAGTCCCATCCCTTCCCGGACCTCCTGTGAATGGGATCAGACAGCCCCAGGACTGCCCACCCCACCCTGAAAAATCTTGATCTGTGGACACCATCCTCATTTTGTAAAGTTACCTTCCCTGGACAGCCTGATGGTTGGCCGGAAGTTGATGAATCCCACAGTGAGGGAAGAAATGAGAGGGAAGGAGGAAAAGGCAGAGCAGACCTGGTAAAATACTTGCTCTATTTTATGTCTGTCTTTTTGACACCTCGTGAAAATGGTTCATTTTCTGTGCCAAAATTTATTTGGGAAAAGAGGAGCAGGAAAAATTCATTGGAACAAAAATTACACACATTGTTACAATCTGTGCAGAAATATTACCCGAAGAGGTATGCAGCAATGCTGCATTTGGTCTGGTGTGTCATTTGCACAGACTAAAGTGTCCTGTGGCTGATGCTAGACAGCATTTTGAATGTCCCCTCAAAGGAGCTTAGGACTCTTGAAAGAAGATGAGGCTTTAAATATGCAGATCCACATCATTACAATTAGCCATTCATATGCAAGGACACTGTAAAGACCAAGTGGGAAATGGTGACAAACTGGGACTAAGTACTTGTTTGCTGTCTGCCGGTAAAGCTGACACAATTTTTCCTTCATCAAGACAAAAATTGTTCTTTTTTCCACCCATCTCTTTTTAATCGAGGCAATAAAAAGTGGTTTTATATATATATGTGCATGTTTTTGTTGTAAACGACACCACTGTATTTTTAAACGAGATAAGTATTTGTGCCACCCTGGGGCCAGCATCTCCCACTGCTCCAACAACATCAAAGGCAGGACAAGGGAGCTAGAGACAGGCGCTGCAGCCGTGAGTTTCCTAGATTTGGGGTGTTTAAATCTGACTGTCATTGGGTTTTTTTTCCTCTGTTTTTTACAAATGTGTTTTTAGAAAAGAAAAATAAACAAACATTAAAAACACAAAACCCAAACAAAACAAACAAAAATCCCCAAAACAAAAAACCAAACAAACCAACAACCAAATAGCAAAAGAGAAGGACACGAAGGATGGGAAAGACAGATCTTTTTTGTATGCAAGAGGCAAGAAATAACCTGAAAGGGAATTAGGAAAAATGTCTAGCAGGTTGTAGAAGACACAAAATCAACGCTGCTTACTACAGGTATATAGATTGCCTGTACTGTCTTAAAAGACTAAAAAACTCTATGTAGGCACGACCCTGTTGGAAAATGCTGGGACCTTTTATACATAACTCGGTTTGCCTCTAAGAATTAATCACAAACCAAAAAATCAACACCCGATGGCATGACAACTTTACTACAGCCTGTCACCCACTGCTCCCTCAGCAGCACAATGCGGGCTGGAAAAGCAACCCAAAAGAAGTAACCCGAAACGAGTGCAAGGAACAGATTCTGGCAAATCTGGGGAAAAAATAATAATAATTTTAAAAAGGAACTGGCAAATCTGTCCCTTCTATTCGTTTGTGGTGGTGGCGCCTAGCCGAGCCATGCTCCATTGCCCCACGGGACGGGCACGGACATGCAGCCTGACCGTCGCCGAGAGCTGCTCGCCCCCGTCCTACCTGGCGAGACAGAAGGCGAGGGAGGTCTCCAGAAATCCTCGAACTCGGACACTCTGTCACACACACTGCCCTCGCAGCTGGGCGCTGACTCGGAGGTTCCATCTGCAGCCTCGGTAAGATGGGATTCCGGAGAAAAGCGCCCCTGGGAAGGCTCGGGATCGGGCAGGGCGGTGCGGCACAGCTCCGTCTCCTCGGGGATCTTGCCGTCTGCGGGGCAAAGGAGGAGGGAACTCCTCAGTGTGGGTCCGTGGTGGGAGCCAGCCACCTCCTGCGGCGGTCCGCTCCCGCCAAGGTTTGATGCACGACTCTCTCCGAGCCCGCATTAGCCCCTCCGGCGTCCCGCACGGGCCGCAGAGCCACCGCCCGGTGCCGGGAGCACCGAGGTGATGTCGGGCGGGTGGGCAGTCTCCGAGTGAGGCTGCGACCGAGAGACTCCTACCTGCACAGATCTGGGCTAGCACCGTCTCCAGCCGCAGGCTGTAGTCCTCGTCGGCGGAGCGAGGCTGGTGGTAGCTGTGCGCTTTCTTGCTCTTCACTAGGAAGGACCTCGGCATGGTGGGGTGCTGCCACGGCCGGCACGCCCGCACTCCCTCTCTAAACGCCGGGCACAGCGGCGGCGGCGAGCGTCACCCCCGAATGTCCTGCGGGGCGGCGACCTGCGGGAAGGCGCCGCGCCCGCCGGTGAGGGCCAGGGGCGCCGGCCAGGAGGGGCCGCTCGCCAGGGGCGGCGCGCCAGGTGGCGACGCGCAGGTGGCTCCGGCCACCGCCCCCGGCCCCGCTCGCCTCGCCCCCTCTTCCAGGAGCGCAGATAACTCAGCCTCCAACCGGCCCCAGCCAACGCGTTTTACCCCCCTCCCTCTCACCGCGGTCTTGGGGCCGCCCCGGCCACGCTTCGACGGCCGCTCCCGGATTGCGGAGAACGGGCAATAACAGCAGCTGGGCACCGTTCTTCGGACAAGCGGGGGCTGAGGGAGCTGAGGGGCGCGGTTGGGTGTTATCCCGTCCCTCCAAGTGGGCACACCGCGTCTCCGTGTTTGCCCCCGCGCCGGCAACCACGGCAGAAGTGGTGCCAACAAATCTCCCCTCCGAAACAGCTTATCACGTCCTACCGCCCTGGACGGGCTGGCCGGCGCGGGGTTGTTACCGGGACGGGAGGGGGAGTCGTTACAAACCAACAGCCTAAACCTGGCGCCTGAGAGGCTGTTGCTGTCGGAGGGACTGATTCACCCATCCCGCGCGAACCACGATAACACGAGAACGAACAAAACGGAATCTCTCCTGCAGCCCTCAGCTGTCGGCGCCGGGCCACCTTGCAGCTGCGGGCACCGAAAGCCGGGGCGGGGAAAGGAGACGAGGTGGGAAACCTCCTACGGGAGTCGGGGGGGACCGGGTTAAACAAAACTTCCCCGAGCCGACTTCTCTGGGGAAGGCCGGAGAGGTTCATTCGAACCCATCCACTACCGGGCCGCCTCTGCCGTTATACTTGACTTTGCAAATAGCGAGTTTAATCCACGTTCTTTTGGGGGTTTGGGGGACTTCGAAGGGTTGCAAACGGGGAAGAGAGGAAAGAGGCCCAGCCCGTCAGCTGAGGCCCGGGAACTGCCCCGCAGGTGGCGGCACAAAGCTCCGGCCCGCCCCATCCCCCCGGCAGGGGCAGGGCTGTTCAGCGCTGCTGGGGAGGCGCCGCCCTCCGGCACGGAGCCGGGTGGGAGCGTTGCTGCGCAGCCCCACCTGTGCCTGCGTTCATCCTTGAGCAGGGGCTAGCAGCCAGCGGGCCCACACGGAGCGGGCAGAGAAATCAAAGCGGCCCGATAACGCGTCAGTCACCCACCCGCTCCCCGACAGCCGCTGGGGGCTCCGGGCGCTGGCGCCTCTTCTGCCGCCTATTTCCCTCCAAAAGTCACACCGCGGAGGCGCCGCCGGATTCCCAAGGCCGGAGCTGGCCAGGCAGGTGCCGAGCCCGTGGGAAGGCGAGACCCGCAGCCCACCTGGCCGCCGTTCGCCCCGGCTCCCGCTGGCCGCGCCTGCTCGGCGGCCGTCGCTGCGGGGGCGCGGAGCTGGCGCCGGGCCCCGCGGCTGAGGCAGGGCCGGAGCGGCGCGGGGTCCCAGCCGAGTGAAAAGGGGTCGCTGCCGGCCCGGCCCGCCCACAGGCAGCTGCCCACGCGAGGCGAGAGAAGCGAGAACGCTTACCCATTTAGAGGGCCGAAGGAAGCTGTGATGCGGACAGGGTATGCGCGGCAGCCTGCTAGTTTGTGTGACTTTAAATTTAGCCTCCCTTTAAGGAGCAATGGTGCTTGAGTTGGCTTTTTTTTTTTTTTTTTAACTTTTCTGTCTCTCTCAACTCCTTCAGAGCTCGGCCCCCTAAACCACAAATTCCACTTCCTGAGCGTTAGTTAGGAGCTTCTGCAAAAGAAAAAAAAAAAAAAAGCAAAGAAAAAAAAAAAGCGCCAAAGCCTCACAAATCAGTAGTGTTCCCCGCCTCTGTTTCTCTCTCAGTTTTCCTTAAATGAAAACATCTTACCGCATTCCACCTCGCTGAAGGGACATCGAAGCGTCATTCTGGAATCGGGCGTTTCGTTTCTCTCGGGGTTCTGCTCTAGAAATTACACACATCTATCTGAACTATTCTTGGATCCCCTTCGACTTCCGCAACGAGAACAAGTCACAGATTCAAAACACAGATTGACTCGGGCGGGCAGAGGGCAGGGGCTGCGGCGGCCGGGGCTCTCCCTGTCGAGCCCGCTCCGCTCCGCATCCCCCCCTTTGGCCCGGCGGCGGGGGGAACACACCTCCCGCCACCATCGGGCCGTGCGTGGCGTCGTAATCGGGGCTAAGGCCGGGCCCTGGGCGACGGAGACCTCTCCTAGACTAGAAATAACTTGTTGTGGAAAACTCTTCTGGGATAAATACGCCCAACGGCGCTGAAAATACCTTAAGACCCAAGCCTAGAGGTTTGCTCATTTCCCTTCGGATTTAGGTAATGGTTAAATATGGAAGGGGTAGGCGAGAGGTGTCGTCCCCCCGTCCCGTTCCCCCCCCC